TAAAACCTACCTATGATTTGTTCTTTGTCTTGATCGATTAATTCATATGTTGGAGGTGATGTGGTGTTTACTTTATCAACGATGAATATTTCGTTTGTGCAGTATCCAACGGAACCTTTTTCAAATTTACTTTTATATTTGAAAATACGAACGCGATCTCCAACTTTAAATTTGGGTTTAATATTTAAATTATTTATTTCATTTCCAAAATTATTAAGGACAGAAGAAAACTTTATAATATCTGGATTTTGACTAGCTTCCATTGGAGAAACACCGATGGAAGAATGAATTTTATTATTATATTCCGATACTACAGTGGGTAAAATCTTTAACCATTTTTGAGACTTTAGTTCTGTGAATTTATTTAAAAGTTTTGATTTAAGCGTCCTGTTAAATCTTTCTACTACAACAGCTTTTCCCTCCCTTATGAGTACTGTAAATTTCAAATTGATTTCATATTTTTATTATAAAATTCGCTTCCTTTATCTACCCATAACTTTTGGGGTTTTCTATGTTTCATAATCGTTTCAAAAGCATGTTTGATTGATAATCCTGTTTTTTTAAAGGAATAATCCAAGCACATTGTATATAGATATATAACTGTTCAGCAATATTTATATCCTCTTTCGACTTCATATTAATTTAATCAGCTGACCATATTTCATCTTTTTTCAAATACTTTAACTTTTAAAAAGTTTTTAGTTTTTCTAAATTCTTTATGAATTTCATCTTTGCTTTTAACAGTTTTATGATTACAGCGGCATCAACTCTATTGACTGGTTCTTCACCCGGTTTGGGTTTATCGTTTTCATCTAATCGCAGATCTAACCTAGTACCTGGACCAGTGTAATTATGACCGGGAGATGTTTTTCTCTGGGATATTTTGCCCATGGAAAACCAGGGAGAGAGCCCAATGACTTTTGAATATCTGAACCGAAATAGGGATTTGGAGCGTGAGTGACTATCATTTTTATCCTATAACTTAAAAACCTTTTCCTTTCCTTTCTTCTAATCTCCTGTTTCGCAGTCTCTTATTAGCTGTAATTCTTTCAACTCGTCAGATTGTTTCACAGCGTGAGATCCTATAGCTGTAGCTGCGGATGAAATAAGTGATTTGTTGTTTGAAACAAAGCTAGGTATTTTTGGAATTATTTGTTTACCTAGAGAAAATATTGATGATACCTTCGACTGAATAATCTTCGAATTTGTGTTGTTCGTGTTTTAAAATTAAACTCATCCTACTTTTAAATGAGTTAATTTAACGAAGAAATTGTGGTCTGTTTTTCCAAACAAGAAGTTTCTATAAAAAGAACTCTGTGAAAACGAGGCTATAAACCGGATGTTAATCATTCAAGGAAATAATTTGCAGGTAAAGGAAGTGTTTAATATGCTCTGTTATTTTTCGTTAATTATTCTATCTAATGAGGGGGTTATAGGATTAAGATTTTGGATAGAGGATATGTCAAATTCCCCAGGGTATTTAATGGTTTCTATAGGATTTGAACCAGCTATCAAAACCATCTCGCTAAGTATGTTTTGGGTGAAAGGAGCTCTTGTGCAAGAGTTGATGAGTATCAGTTTCTTTGAAATACACTTTAATATCCAGTTTATTTGTTTCTGCTTTGGAATCTCCTTAAAGATAGTGGTATCGAGAAAGTCTATGCTGTTGTCACTCACGTTTGCCGTTAGTTTGATAGAAGGATGGTGGTTGTTGAGAATTTCAAAGAATTCCCAAAACTGTTCGATAGAATAAGTCCAAACCAAAAAATATTCATCTTTACCTGGTAACTGTATCGTGCCTACAAGCCAAATTTGACGCGTTTGTACGAAGCCAAGTGATCTAGGTATGCCAACACAGTTTCAAAATGGTCGGATAAATATTGCAGCCTCTATTGTGTCTATATACAAGCCACATTTGACGTGTTAATTTAGTCAAGGGCAATAACTCTGAAACTATTCGCTTTTTTACAAATTTGAACTAGACCGAGATCTCATAGCCTATATAGGCCTACAAGCATATATACCATATTTCATCAAGATCGGATAAAAACTGTAGCCACATTTAACGCATATTTACTATTCAATTATAACTTCCATATAATCAAAAACTGTAATTGGAATTCAGAGTGTTGTCTGCTAGAATATATTCCAGTGGGCAATGTCACGTGACAAACTAGCGGATTCCATGTCAGCAGAACAAATCCATGGAACAAAGATGGCAATAATCTTATATTGTTTCAATGCATTTTTAACACTCTTACCTTTTCCTTATTTTTTTAGTCACTCAAAGAAAAATAGTTATGTGAATTGATATTTGAGATAAATAATACGAAAAGAAAATTATACTACTGGGTATCAATAAAACGTGTTTTTCTGACTTATTTATAGATCAATTATTTTTAATGGAATAGATAGACTATCTTTGATCTCTGGCAAAACACGAAAATAGTGGACGCATTTGAGTTGATAACGAAAAAAGTAACGAAGATAAAATATGGGTCAAAATGAGGGATTTATTAAAAAAAAGAAACAAACCACTTTTAATTATTTTATTGAATATCTAAAGAAACATCTAAGACATAAAAAAATTTTTTTTTTCGTTTTTTATTGGAAGAAATTCGGTTATGAATCCTTGTGTGAACGAATATAAGTTCTACTACTGTACATTCATACCAAGTTTCATCAAGATAGGATAAAAACTGTAGACTCTATTGTGCCAACAAGAAATGCGAATAGACGAACATGGGCGACGGCAATATACCTCCACATTTGCATGTGGCGTATAAAAACCATTCAACTAAACACTGCCAACTGCGAATTCACATAGGACTCTATAGAAAACCAAATAATCCAATATTAAGATGTCGATTGTAAAGAGGTTTTCTAGCCTTTTTATATTCATCGGGAAAACTTTGACTTCTATTTGGTACATTCCATTTCTTCGTAATCAACGTACCAACAGACCAAATTAACATAATGGACTAACTTGATTTACCAAATGATCGCCTCCACTGATTGATTGTTATAGTTGTATTAGAATAAAACAAAACGAAATTATTGTAAATAATCAACAGAATTGTTAAGTCTTTTAAAATGGGATGGGGCAGTAAAAATCAAATTCCACACTGCCATCACAGTTATTAAAACAACAAAATCTAACAATCCAGCCGTTTAAACGCCAAAAATATTTAAAAACTTTACGTAAGGTTTTAAAGTTCGTTTTGCATTTTGTAAGCTGTTAGAAATGGATTTGAATAAAATAAACGCCTAATTGTAGAGACATATGTGTCGTACATATTCTAAAGGCTTCAACTGATAATATCGAGCTGTTATAAAGCAAAACACCAAAGCTAGGCCAAACTGCTTAATTAACAATTAGTACTCTCCGTTTTTAATTTACCCTTTCAAATTCAATTTGATCAAGAGACACATAGATATAAATAGCATACTTAAGAAATATTTTCAGGTATAATTTACGACGTTTTTGATATTAAAAACTTTTAACAAGAAAGCGGAATACCCCTTTAAGGTACCGGTTGATAGATATCGTAGAAGCCATATGAAACTCAAGGTCATAAGACTTCAGGGTCTCGAGATAAAAAGCCTTAAATATTGAACCAATCTGAAAATTTTCATTAAAAAATAAAAAGAAGGCAAAATCAAATTTCAAAATTTGGTTATCACGGAATCCAAGGTTTTGATTGGTACCAAAACCATGCAAATCACATAAAAAAAAATGAGGGAGAAATATCGATTTTAAGAAATGTTAAGCTAAACAAAAATGGAGGCTTGATATACACTTCCGGTTCATTTTGTTTCGCTTATTCTGTTTCTAATCAAATTCCTGATGATATGCATATGTGTATCTGCAAACAGATTTGTGTTTATCAACAAGACAGTTTTTTCCCATAAAAATCAATTGACTTCTTAGCAAGCCTTTTAGTACTGGCGCTAAAGGGGTTTTGCTACGAAAACACGATGTCATTAAGACTATATTAAAAAATATGATGATAAAAAAATTGGCCAAAATGAGTGTTTGTTTTTCAGTGAAGTTACCTGGTGTTATAACTATACAACAGAATCCCTCAATAAATCCATAGAACTAAGTAATAATCCATTAATAGATCAAAGATAGTGGACCACAGCCATATACGCCCACCACGGCATGCGGATGGTAAATATTCAAGATTTTGGGGCAAGGGCAATAACTCTGCTTTTAACGGTCGAAAATAGCTCAAATTCGAACTTTATCTTCGTTTTATGAATATGTTTACACCTACCGAATTTCATTTGATTCCATCAAAAAATCTAGTTTTTAGAGCGTTTACAAGAAAATGTTGGCGGACAGACAGGGGTGCCGACAATATACGTCCACATAGGGAGGTGTGGGCGTATAAAAACTATGTATGAATATCTCCTCAATTTACAGTCAGTTATGCTCAGTTTTTCCACAAAAGCATAAACAAAATACATCAAATTATCAACGTCACTGTGGATTTAATTTTAGAAATATAATTAGACAAATTATTGATTAAAAGAACAAAAAGAAAAATCACCAAAAATGAAGGAGTAAGAATTAATCATTAAGGATAAAAGATTAATAAGCAATATTGGACTCTTTGGTCTTCTATGAGACTCAAGCTTCAAATGTGCCAAAATGCTGTTTTGACCAAAAAGGAAAACACAAAAACTCAAAATAACAATGAGGGAAACATTTTCAAATTCTAAACTATTAAATATCTGGATAGAAAAACTGGATAGAAACTGTAGCATCTAACTTGCTAAAAAAAAAATATATTTCTATACAGGTCACATTTTAAATGAAATTTTAATGAAATACATGTACAAATATATTGGGACTTTACATCAATGAACATGAAAGTAATGCTAATTCAGTGATTACTCTTTGTACAAATATAAATCCTTTTCATATCAAAAATATAATACAATTCTGGGACTAATATCATTTTGTTGGAAATATTCTTACACAGGCTTCTCTTTCACTCAACAGCAAAACCACAGGTTTCTTCCACTGCACAAGTTAACTTTCCATAGAATTTCTCGTAAGACTCATAAGGAGGTATATCAATTCTGTTGAAACTGTAAATACAAAATAAAGCATAATACAGAAAGTTATTTTTTTAGAGCTCCAGGCAAGGTTATTTATTCTCAATGACAGCTTTGATTAACAAAAATACAGAGTGTTTCTTTGAGGCAAGGCCTGGAGTGCTGAGGCCCCTTAAGTCATTCAAAATAATACCTTTCACAAGCCACTGGCTCCACATTTCATGCAGGTGTATAATAATAAAAGTACAAGACATTGGTCAAACACACAAAAGAGGTTATTGGGTGAATTATAATAGTTTTCTGAAGAAATGCTATTTTTTACAGGAGATTATCAGTAAAATTTTAAAACTCTCTTGAGATAAACAGAAGGCCAAAGGTTTACCAAGGTTTGAAAACACTTTAAGTAAAAACAAGATTTCGGAAAACCTCATGATTGTGGACACTGTAGAATCTACTCCATTTACTAGCAAGCCACTACCATTTACAAATCAATTTGCTGAGCTGCTAAGACCACTTTTCATGTGTAATTCTACCAACTCCAAAAAGACACAATGCTAACATCAAACCCCTAACCACCTTTACCTCAGTCACCAATAACCCCAGCCAATAGCCAACAAAGGACACCTAAATCTACCCCAAAAACACCCCGAGAAATAGTTGGTACCAGACGACGCCTTAGCTTAGGCCACAAACCAGCCAATAAACTACCATGACAATATAAAATCTGACTGGAGCCTTCCGGAAATCCTGAAACCTATCCTGATCATCGGTTCATCCAATATCTCTCGTGTACCTGAAATAAACCTCAACACTCGAGCCGAATCATACCCGTATCCAACACTCTATTTAAAGCTGACAGACGTACCGAAGAAAGTTATTAACAACAGACAGGAGACAGATGAGATCATCTACAAACAGATTTAGGAACTTTTAAACCTAGCCAAACCAAACCCAGATACCTTTTTCCCCTAGCCTCCAAAGAGTTGAACCCCATGCTACAGAGAATCATAATAATAATTATCTCATCTACCATAAACCTTCACCTATAGCCACTAGCATCCCAAGATTCAATGGAATGGTCGAAGTTTGCTCCAATCACGTCCACTGGATGAGCTCCACTGCTAGAAGTATCTTTGATAAATGGGTCTCCCTATTAAACTAGGCGCTGGAGGAAGTATTTTAAAGTTAGGCTTAACAATATTAAATCTTAGTCGCGTAAATATTCTCCCGTTGATTGAAGAAAAAATTTGGATTGCGGTTTGACTTATATTCTTACAGTAAAACCGTTGTCTATTTCACCAATTTTATTGTCGGTTCAAGAAATCCAGCGAATATTTTAACTCAATTTTTTCTTTCGTGAACCTCTTGTCTGCGATAAGCGTACCAAATTTGTTGAAAACAAAAATTATTAATATTAACCAATTTTGAACGTAGAGCTTTAAAGAACTTGAAAGATAGCTTGCGATGCAAGGTAACATACGCCCACCATTCCTCGACACTTGAAAAAGGATAATATTTCGAAAACCGGTTCGTGTCAATTGCGTAAGTTTTTGTTTTACTTGTTATAATTTTTCACACCATTGTTAGCGTCATTTATCACCTAAATATATATTTTTGCATTTTTCATCATGACTTTCATTTTACTTTATATATCCCCAAACCCAGTTTGACTTATTTGCATAATTTGATCCCCACATTTTCACGCTAGCATATACAGTTTCCTCCTGTTACATCCGCTGTACATATCCTTTCTAACCTCAAGTTATTTTCATTATGCTCCCCAACTACAACAACCACTGGCAAGAAGCCAGACATAGAAACACTAATCGTCAACCAAACCAATATCACGTACCCTACAACGGCCCTGTCTTCCATCGACCTCTACCACCTACCGATCGCCGACCACCAACCAACCCATCCAGCTATATCCCACCCCATTGCCGACCTACCTACAACACCTACCAATCAAGAGGTAACCATCGACCTGACCAACAACAGAAACGACTACCAGCCCACCGACGCCAACCAGTCCCCACTCATAAGGAGGAAGAACCCTTTGTGAAGGTGTTCTTCCAAGTTTTGCAGTGCCTCCATCATTTGGCAATCCTTACCCTTCAACAGCAAGGCCAATCAGCGTTTACCTTCAAACGCAAAGTCTCTGAGTTGGATAGTTTTATCCGTCCAGCAATGAAAACATCAGCTGTTGACGCGAATCAACCGGACATGGCTCTCTAAGGTTACGCAGGTCCTGATCGACCATTACCAAACCACACTTCAAGAGAAGCTGACCACCATTCGTACCAAGTCTTTATCATCAGCTGCCGTCGACCGCATCGTTTCTCATGCCCTGTCCTGGGCCCGCCGCTCCTATGGGAAACGTCTCACTCAAGCTGTAATCACCAAGTTCTACCTAACAATCAACGAAACAAAAACCAGAGTAACCATATCTCTACCAACTGAAATGGACACTACATCTGCACCATCTAGAGCCACGACGCTGCCGAACCAAACCCCTAAACGAGCCCGAAGTTCACCTACTCCTAGTCCAGCAGACATAGGTAAACGCTCTCGTAGAGAGGGCACTCCCCTTCTCTTTTCACTTTCAGACTCGTCTTCCCCTTCCACACCATCTGAATCTTCACCACGTGATCTAGGATCCGCCAACCTTTCTCTCTTCTGTGCGTTTTTGGACCAGCAAACCACCCCTCAGTCTCCATCGAAGTCGAGACGTATATCCAGACCTTCCCCCCCTCGAACCAGATCCCAGTCCGTTCCCAATGCTACAATTCTAACAACTACCAAACCAGTACCAATCACACCGTCGACGACCATTATATCCGCTACCAAACCGTATTATCACCAAACCAAGGACAAATCATTATGGAAGCTATCCGCTCTAAAGAAATCTACCTTAATTATTGGATCATCTAACCTGAATCGAATTACCAAAACCAGTTCAGACATTGAAATACATTCTTACCCCGGTGCCCAAATCCATCACATACAGTCAATCCTGGAATCATACGACCATGATCCCAAACCTACTACTATTCTTCATGTAGGCCTCAACAACCGTGATCAGCTACCAAAGACCTCCTTTAACCAAGCCCAGCAATTAATCGCCACAGCCAACAAAACCTTCCCAAACTCCAAGATCCTCTTCACATGTATACCCATTTCAAATAAAATCTCGAAGAAAGCACAACAGAAACTCAGCACTCTCAACAACATGATGATGGAGTCCAGTATCAACAGCGCAACAATCTTACCACCCTACGAAGAAGAATTCGAACCAGTTGATAATCTTCATTGGTCTCCAGAAACAGCAAACAGCATTTATTTGTTTTGGATACACCGGCTTCAAGCATCGAGTAAGTCTTTAAACTAATTACTGGGGATAAAAATACTGAGAGGCCACCGCTAGGCCAAACTGTAGTTAACTTGAGCCGCAAAATTCTCACACCCCTTCAGCATTCAATCTTAGACCGTGGACTTAAATTTATTCCCACACCAAAGATAGCTAACTTGAATTATCTCCGACCATCCATTGAACGATTTCAACGAAATCTTAGCTGCACTATATTTTTTCCGAAACCAACCCCACGTGGTGCTAGAACAATGTTTATTCCTAAATCCACGTGGACACCCCCTCAGGCCGCCATCCATCCTGAAATATTGAAATCATTTGCGAGTATGAATAGCCAAACAGTGAACCTTTCCATAACACACGAAAAGCCTAATCTCACACGAGTGGAACGTGAAGCGTTAAACTTACTTAAGAAAGACGATAGCATTGTTATTAAAAAGAGTGACAAGGGTTCATGTTGTGTCATTCTGAATAGGGAGGATTACGTTTCAGAAGCAGAGAATCAACTGAATAATCCTAAACATTATGCCATTTATTTTACCAAAACCAATTTTCAAAGAAACTGCTAACATGATTAACAATATTCTTGCCGATTTAGTCAAAACTAGTTATCTCAAACAGAAACAATATGACTATCTGTCTGCCAAACCTGATTGTCGCGAGAGACATTTGTACACTTTGCCTAAAATCCATAAGAATCCAACCAAGGAGTGGTTTATCCCGAATAAAATCCCTAAAGGCCGCCCGATTATATCTGACTGTGGTAGTGAGTCATATGCAGTGTCAGAATACATTGATCATTTCTTACTACCTCTAGCATGTCAACATCGCGCCTACCTTAAAGACACAACCGATTTTGTCAATAAAATAAAAAATCTTCGAGTTCCCTCTAATGCTATTTTAATTTCTATCGACGTTTCTTCTATGTATACCAATATCGATAACACTACTGGTTTAACGGCAGTTCGTAAAGCTTTTAATAGAAACCCAGATCCAAACAGACCCGACGATGCAATTCTACAGCTTTTAGAGATTTGTCTTAGTCGAAACGATTTCACATTTAATGGTAAAACATATTTACAAACTTCAGGGACAGCAATGGGCAAACGATTCGCCCCTTCGTACGCAAACCTTTTCATGGCAGATTTGGAACGTGAGGTGTTGCCCCTCTGTCCATTTGACCCATTATTTTACGGACGCTTTTTGGATGGCATTTTTATGGTTTGGACTTATTCTATCGAACAGTTTTGGGAATTCTTTGAAATTCGCAACAACCACCATCCTTCTATCAAACTAACCGCAAACGTGAGTGACAAAAGCATACACTTTCTCGATACCACAGTCTTTAAGGGAGATTCCATAGCAGAAACAAATAAACTGGATATTAAAGTGTATTTCAAAGACACTGATACTCATCAACTCTTGCACAAAAGCTCCTTTCACCCAAAACATACCTTTTCTGGTATAATTAAGTCACAAGTTTAACGATTTCATCGAATTTGTACAAGATCTTCTGATTTCAACCAAGCCTGTACGATTGTTTTCTCAAAACTGTTTTTACGAAACATAAAAAATTCCACCTTAGCACAGATAGCAGCTAAAAACAGACTTTGTGCCGAAGTACCTCCAGGTTTAAGAAGTGCTCCATGTTTGTCCAGTAGATGCA